ACGCGCGGCAGGGGAGGGCGGCCGCAGCCCCGGGGGGAGGGCGGTGAGCCCGGTTGTGGCTCCGCTCTCCCCGGCGGCCCGGGGGGAGGGCGCCGGGAGCCGTGTGAGAAGGGCGAAGTGCCCGGTCGGGGCTCCGCTCTCCCCGGTGGCCAGAGCCAGAGCACCGCACCCCGCCGCCCCCCTCCAGGTTGGCTCCAGGCTTGGTGGGCTTGTGCCTGGAGCCGGCCCTGGTTTTATCAGGTGACTGGCTTCAGGTGCCCTAATTGGCTTCTGGTGTAGCAGCCTCTCTTCCCTCTACAGGGACTAAGGCTCTCCTCATCCTGGGGTTTACAGATCTCCCATCGATCACTCGCCTGCTCCCCTCAGGCCGTGCTATGTCACACTGCTGACAAGGGATCGCCAGCAGACCAAAGCAGATCACCCAGCCAATAAAACCACACGCCATATGAGCTTAGATCCTAAAGTAGCTGGTTACAAGCAGGAATTTCTCCCCCGAAATGTTGCCTTCGACAGATTGCAGAGGTTCTTGAAGGCAAACTGCTCTTCCTTGCAGCTTAAAACTCCAGGTATTCCTGTCACAGGCCCGACACCTTTCCCAGCCCGGGCTCAGACCTCCGCCCCACCTTGGTCTTTGTTTCTTAGATGTTCTCAGCAGTCAGCCTGGGCGGGGATTCAGTGACGAATGAACCAAGATTAACTCACTCCCCTGCCTTACGTAGGATTGACACATGGGGTGTGTGGGGGGGGAATCCTTTTTTCCAGTGTCGTCCCCCGCCCCTCCTGGTATTCCATCATGGAGTCCGGAACCAGGGGCCGGGATCACGTGATGAAAGCAGCCAGGAGACAGGAGCGCTTTGTCCCATCCCAGGCAGGTGGGAGAGGAACATCTTCAGGGACGTATTGTTCTTCCCAACGGCCCAGCCGGACTGATGGCTGCTGTCTGCTGGGCGTTCCCCAGGGGGAAACCCACTGGTCATTGGTGCAGCGTCGATATTCCTGATATTCAGGCCTGGTACGTTCACACCAATACCATAATCACATTCAGCCAATCGTCACCTTTCTATTGATACCTCACATGCCTCGTCTTGCACAAAATATGTCACAGTGATGCTATAATTATATTGTTACACTAGTTCTATGAAGAATATGGGGTGTGGTGTCATAAGGTCTGGGAGGTTGCGGGGGGTGGGCTAGGAGCCAGGACGCCTGGGTTCTATCCCCGGCTCTGGGATGGCAGTGGGGTCTAGAGGTGAACTTAGGCTTATAAGAAGCATACGGGGTCTTTTTCAGGGGAACAGGCAAGACGCCGCGTTTATTGAAAATACAACACTTAGCGCAGGGATTCTCAAACTGGGGGTCGGGAACCTCAGGGGGTCGCGAGGTTATTACATGGAGGGGTTGCGAGCTGTCAACCTCCACCCTGAACCCGGCTTACCTCCAGTATTTATAAGGGTGTTAAATATATTTTAAAGGGTGTTTAATTTATTGGGGGGGGTCACACTCAGAGTCTTGCTGTGTGAAAGGGGGCACCAGTAAAAAAGTTTGAAACACACTGACTTAGCCTGTGCATTCAATCTTTCTCTCTTGCACACACACACACACACACGCGTGCGCATCCAGAGGGGGGATTACATCCAGGAGATGGCCGAGCACTGGAAGGGGGTGGTGGCGGACAGGGCCTACCTGGAGAAGGCCATGGGCTACTTCCGGCCAAGTACCAGGAGCCGGTCTTCGTGGTGACCAGCAACGGGATGGAGTGGTGCCAGGAGAACATTGACGCCTCGCGGGGGGACGTGTATTTCTCGGGGGACAGGAAGGAGTCGTCGCCGGGGAGGGACTTTGCTCTTTTGGCCCATTGCAACCACACGATCATGACTATTGGGACCTTCAGCATCTGGGCCGGTTACCTGGTCGGTGGGGAGACCATCTACTTGGCCAACTACACCCTCCCCGACTCCCCCTTCCTCAAGATCTTCAAGCCTGAGGCTGCTTTCCTCCCCGAGTGGATCGGGATCAACGCCGATCTCTCCCCGCTGCGGAGTGAGACATCTGGCTAGAGGAGCTCAGTTGGTGGCTGTCGCGGAGTGTGGGGGACTCAGGGCCCTGCACCCCCGGCTTCCTGCGATTCACCATGACTCTCAGCCAGCCAGTAAAGCAGAAGGTTTATTTAGATGACAGGAACACAGTCCAAGACGGGTCTTGCAGGCACAGACAACAGGATACTCCTCAGTTAGGTCCATCTTGGGGTCTCAGGGCACCTCAGCCCCCTTGGGAGGTCAGAGCCCTGTCTGCCTCCCAGACATATCACCAGCCAGCTCCCAAAACTCTCCCTTCAGCGACCCCTCCCACAGCCTTTGTTCAGTTTCCCGGGCCAAGGTGTCACCTGGCCTCCAACCCCTTCCTGGGTTCTCATGTTACATGCTCAGGTATTCTCCGTGGGTCACTCTCCCATCCCCCAATGCAGACCATCCTAGCCACACTCCCCTGTCAGCATTTACAGACCACAGTAAGAAAAGTCCCAGTTCGTCACAGTGGCCACAGGACAACAGGATTCACCCGCCAGGACTGGGCATCTGGGCCCCCCGGCTGGTGCGGGCTGCGCTGGGGAGATCGGGGGCGATTGGAGCTGGGCTGGCGGGATTCAGAGCCCCACACGGAGCAGCCAATGACCTACATCGGACAACTTCTCATAGGAGTGTCCTGAGTGATGGGACCGTCTCCGTCTGTTGAATGGTTAGAGTGCAGGGGAGTGGGGGCTGGGAACCAGGACTCCTGGGTTCGAGTCCAGCTCCGGGAGGTGAGTGGGGTCTGTGATGAGTCGCCTCCCCCACTGCGGGGTGCCACGTGATGTACTGGGGTACCACTGAGCCCGCCTGTTCCACCAGCCTGGGCTCCCTCACCCTGTCCTGCTAAGCCAGGCCCTCAAGCCTCCTCCAGCCCACGCAGGTAGGGACACGCCCAGCCGCAGAAAGACAGACACGGGGATCAGCTCTGCGTGGGAAGGCTTCAGCTAGGGAATAGCCCAGCACCCCAGTGCTCACCCCCTCTGGGGTGCAAGCCCCAAATTGTGTTGCCGTGCGCTGCACAGAGACCTGCACAGCGCAAGCTCCGGAAATCTGCCCCCTCCGGCAATGGGGAGGAAGATCCGCACAGCGTTTCGCCCCCCAGTTACAAATTCCACAAGCTGCTTTTAGGGGAAACAAGAAACAAGGAAGCAGATCGCCCAGTGGTAAGAGCAGGGAGGGGCTGGGAGCCAGGACTCCTGGGTTCTCTCCCTGGCTCTGGGAGGGGAGTGGCGTCTAGTGGTTAGAGCAGGGTGAGCTGGGAGCCAGGACTCCTGGGTTCTCTCCCCGGCTCTGGGAGGGGAGTGGGGTCTAGTGGTTAGAGCAGGGGGGGCTGGGAGCCAGGACTCCTGGATTCTCTCCCCAGCTCTGGGAGGCGAGTGGGGTGGGATTAATATGTTCCAAAGCCAGACGGGACCGTTTGGATCTCCTAACCCAGGGCTGTCGAGCTCCGGTAGCTACAGCAACTGGAAACTGCGAGCGAGGCCCAGGCCGGGGAGCCCAGACTCGGCTCTGTCCCTGCCTCCTGCAGCCCGTCAGTGCAAACACCGGCGCGGGGCATCGCGCCGCCCTTGGGACCAGCTATTCTGAAGCAACAGCCGGGCGCTGCAGGGAGGGGGCCGCTGCTCTGCTCCCCCTGCCAGGCCTTGGACGCTGTGGTGGCTGCATTCAAGAAACACGGCTCTAGGCCCCCGGGCCCGATCCAGAGGTCGAACCACCTCTCTGCTCCCACGCGGGGATCCCGGTTGCTGCGTCCCCAGGTCCCGTCAGGCCTTCGGCCCCAGCGCCGCCTGGGGAACTCAGGTGAGGCTGGGTCCCCACCACGACTCCAAATCTCTCCCGGAGTCCCGGCTGCCCCGGAGGGCGACCCCCAGCCTGTGCGTGCGGCCGGCGTTCTCCGCTCCCGGATGGACTTGCTGACACGTCGCCGTAGGAAAACGCCCCCAGTGACCCCCGTGGCTCCGTGTCCCTGCCCCGGTCTCGGCGTCCTGCCCCCAGACCGTGCATCTGCGGGAAATGTGACCAGGGACGATGTTCTGGTTTCTCCATAAAGCTGGGAACTCGCGCAGGGCCCAGAACCGACCCCGGCCGGACCCCGCAGGAAACACCCTCGCTCGATGGCGCTTCCCCGGTCACAGGCGCCAACTTTATAATGTGCCAGGGGGGCCTCGCCCCCTGGCTCTGCCCCAGGCCCCGCCCCCTCCACTAAGGCCCCACCCTACCCCGCCTCTTCCCGCCCAGTTTCACCCCTTCCCCTGGGCGTGCTGCGTCCTTCCTTCTCCCCCCTTCCCCCAGTGTCACAGAGTTTGGGGGAGTCGGGGCCCTGCACCCCCGGCTTCCAGCGATTCACCGGGACTCTCCACCGCCCAGGAACACAGAAGGTTTATTTAGCCGACAGGAACACAGTTCAAGGCAGGTCTTGCAGGTACAGACAACAGGACCCCCTCAGTCAGGTCCATCTTGGGGGGCCAGGGGAGGCCAGAAGCCATTCCCCCTGCCAGCTCCAAACTGAGACACTCCAGCCCCTCCTCTGGCCTTTGTCTCTATCCCGGGCCAGGAGGTCACCTGATCTCTTTGTTCTCCAACACCTTCAGTTGGCACCTTTGCAGGGAAGGGGCCCAGGCCATTAGTTGCCAGGAGACAGGGTGTCGGCTATTCTCTGTGCAGACAGTATCACAGGGGCCTTCTTGGGCTCTGCAACAATCACACACCCTGATCCCCCCACCTAGATACCTAAGAAATGCATAGGGGAAACTGAGGCACCCACCCAGTATTCAGAGAAAACATTAAGAACATTCCCACGTCGTCACGTCCAGAGCCTCCTGCATGCCGGGAAACAGCTGATTGCGGTGGGCAGGAGGGAGGGGGAGGTGCTGATCCGGGACCCGCCAGCGGGCGGGAGGTGCTGCGGCGGGTGGGGGAAGCTGTGGGAGGACTGTGCTCGGCCCCCACCGTTTTTTCCGCCGTGGGGGCTCCAGCCGTGGAGGACCCACGGAGTCGGCGCCTATGCGTTTTGAGACCCATCAGTTAGCAGTTTTTAATTCATTTCACGTGCGCCATGGTCATTTGAAAGCGTCCCAGTTTTTTAATCGCCACGTCATGCGGTACCACGGCAAATGCTGCCCCCACGTCGACACTGCTGTTGTGTCACCCAAACCTGTCGCGTCATCCAAAAAAGCTACCGGGTTAGTCTGCCAGGCTCTATTCTCCATAAACCCAAACTGCGCGGCGTGAATTACGTTACACGCCTTTCGGGCTTTATTAAGCGAGTCCCGTAGCAGCTGCTCCGTTAACTTGCCAGGGACGGATGTCCGGATGAGACACCTATAATTGTGGAATGGGCCTCTGGGGTCGTCCCGCTGACCCTGTCTAAATCTTGGCCCAACGTTCGCTTTTGCCCAGGCTTCCGGAATTGCCCCAGGGCTCCAAACCATATTCAAAAGCAACGTTAACCATCCTGCGAGTTCCTCGGCCTGCTCTTTTAAAACTCTTAGAGGCAAGTTATGCAGATCTGCTGATTTAAAAAATGTCTGACTTTAGTAGCAGCTGTTTGACTTCTGCAGCGGTACCAGTGGAATGGAAAGAGGGTTCTCATCACCATCTGATAAGACTGCATCAGCTGCTCTTCCCACCAGATACAGAACAGAAATGTTTATTGCCTTTCTTCGTTATTAGTGATAATTCTGCCATTTCCATCTAGTAATGGACCAACACCATTGGAAGGGTTCTTTTTGTTCCTAAGATACTTAAAAAAGCTCCTTATTGTCCTTAACGCTGGTGGCCGTACAGTTCTCCTTGTGTCCCATGGCTTCCCTTATCAATTTTCTACAATTCTTCGCTTCTGATTTATATTCATTACTACTATCAGTTTCCCCTCACTTCCAATTTGTTCTTTTTTATAGCTGCCTCCACTTCCCCTCTAAACCAGGTCAGTTTGTAACCAGTACGGCCTGGTTTTTGGGGATCTAGGAAAGTGTTCTTAGACAAATCCGATCTGTTATTCCTGTTTTTCAGATTAATTTCTCCCTCCTGGCTGATCTGGTTCATAATTGTTTCCAGCTTTGTGAAATTGGCCCTTTTAAAGCACCAAGCAGGGGCAGAGAGAGGTCTGTGGTCAGGGAGGGCTGAGAATCAGGCAGCTCAGGTCATGGGGTCAGGGGACAAACCCCCCCTCCCAGGTCCCTAAAGGCCAGCCCTGGTAGCCAGGGGAGAGCACCCCCTGCTGACCCCCTGCTTCCTGCAGGACAGCGCTCCCTACTGAGCCCCCCACCCCGCTCCCCTCAGCCCAGCACCCCCTGCTGACCGCCCCGCCCCATCCCATGCAGCCCAGCACCCCCTGCTGACCCTCCCACCCCTCTCCCCACAGCCCAGCGCCCCTGCTGACCCCCCAGCCCCGCTCCCTGCAGCTCAGCGCCCCCTGCTGACCCTCCCACCCCTCTCCCCACAGCCCAGCGCCCCTGCTGACCCCCCAGCCCCGCTCCCTGCAGCTCAGCGCCCCCTGCTGACCCTCCCACCCCTCTCCCCACAGCCCAGCGCCCCTGCTGACCCCCCAGCCCCGCTCCCTGCAGCTCAGCGCCC